CGATCAACCCAGTGATATCCGAGCTGCTTCTGAGCTAGCTGCGACGCGATATTTCGAATGATACTCCGTGTGGGTGCTAGGCCTCGCTTAGTGAGTCTATCGATATAGTCGATAAGCTCAGCTTCATGTTGTGGGTGGACTGCCTGCTGGTTTTGTGCAGCTGCTTGTCTGGAGCGAGAAATACCTCGGTGGCGGCGGCTCAGCGTTCCTGGGTCAACACCATATTTTTTTGCAATTTGAGAATACACAAGTTTTTCATTAGGCTTCAAAGCGTTAATAGCAGCAAGCGCAGCGTCAATTGATTGCATTGTGGTCACGTTATGGGTGGTTGAAGTGGATGGAATAATTGGTGTTGGAGGACGTAATCCGGCGTTGGCCCGTCCGCGGCGTTGGCCCGTCCGGCACCTCTAGCCCCACTCAAGAACGACAAGAAACTCCACCATACCTCGCGGCCGTTATACTCTTCCGTTGTGACCTCGACCTCGTCGACCTTAGCCTGTGTGAAGCTTTTTAACGCACTCTGGTTTCCATATATTCTGCACATACACACGTCGCCGTCGTTCTAAGAGACGGGCGCTCACTAGCGGATGAACTGTGTGTTGCTGAGAGAGTGTCCCGAAAATACCAAGTACAACTCTCATTGCACGTTCCTTCAATATGCCACAACCATCGTGCAAGGCATTCCGACAGGTTTCAAGGCATTTTTTCTCAGCCAAATACGACAATATTCACACCGAACCTAGCTGTTCTATACGTCTGACTACCGTCGCACGAGCAAGAAATTGTGCATCATCGGGATGCCCCTTCTGCACTATTCTTATGGCCAGCGCTGACCCGTCGCACTTTCCAGAAAAGGTCTTGTACACCGATGACATGATGTTGAGAAGAACAATGCTCGACCCCAAACAGTGTATTCGGCTTTTGATCGACAGCATCGATATTTCACGTACATTCTTCTATCGCGTACCGCTTGAATGGAGTATGTCTCACATTTACAAGAGCACAAATAGTCACGAACCGCTAAGAGAGATAGGACTTCCAATTGCTGAGTTGGATAAGCCTTGGGATGAATTGACGCTCATGCGAACTTGGCTGTCTAATTGCGTGACCAAACACTCTAAGTGCAAGCAAATTGCTAGCCGAGGATCTCCAAAACGCCTCCTCGACGTTAGAGCCTTTGCGAATTCGAACGATATTAGACTGGTAGACTGGCGAAGCGTTCCGACCACAGCGAAATACGTTACCCTTAGCCATTGTTGGGGCCCAGCCAATCGCCGCCCAATCTGCACAAGCAAAGCCACCTTAAGTGACAGAATGCTGCGGATCCAATTCGAAGATCTTTCGATGACGTTTCAGGACGCCGTCAAGATTTGTCGGGATCTGGACCAGAAATACCTTTGGATAGATTCTTTATGCATTATTCAAGACGATGGCGAAGATTGGTCACAGCAAGCAGCCGCTATGGCTTCTATTTACGGTGGATCATATGTCACTCTGACTGCACTCAGCTCTGCAGACAGCACTCAGGGCTGCCGGACCAGGCCAAGGGAGGCAGTAATGCCAAAGCTATCGCGATACCAAGATTTCAATTTCGGTTCCCGACGCGTCAGAATTCTAGAAGACTCGCCAGCTTACTGGAATGAGGAATATGATGGTTGCGGATCCAATCCGTTACGCACGAGGGCATGGACACTACAAGAAAGAAATCTCTCATTGAGGTGTATCAACTTTGCTCAGGGGCAACTGCTTTGGCAGTGCCGTACAATGAAGGGTTCATCGGAGCTTCCGTGGCACGAGATGATACAGAAACACGGCAACTTCGTCCCCCGACCGCTAATGCTCAACCAAGAAGAAGACTTCACCTCTAATGGCCCAGCCTTTCAACGTGATCACTGGTTCGGATTAGTTGAAGACTACTCTTCCAGGAATCTGACGAAGGAAACCGATAAATTGCCTGCTTTAGCAGGCCTGGCCTCAAGATTCTCCGAGGAACAAAACCCTGGAAAGTATCTTACTGGCATCTGGTCAGATCACCTACCATCGGCACTTCTTTGGAGAACCATACCAACCTGCAGCCAGGACCGAGGCCAGCCTGTTAGCCAACTTACTACCTCTAAGCCTTGTCGTCCACAGGTTTACAGAGCACCTAGTTGGTCATGGGCTTCCATCGATGGAGAGATCAGCTATGAGTGTCAAAGAATTGGCCCCTGCAATGAAGCACGCCATGTCTTTGACAATACTTACGGGAACTTCGAGATTACGAACTCTTACGATAAATTAGTGGCAGCGCTTGATACACTTGGTGCCCCTTCAGATGCCGCATTACGAATGCGAGGTAACATTACTGAACTTCAAATCAGTACCCAACTAATCGAGGAGGATATCTCTGGAGGCATTCGACGTCTCAGTTCGGGAGATGGTATCACAGTGGGAGCATTTTATCCAGATATAGTTAATGACTTTCGATTTGTGCGGTCTGTATATGTGTTGAGTATTCGCTCTGAGTCATATTATCCTTCTGTTCAAATGCCTTTCCTTGTCTATGGAAAAAAGGGTCCTTTATATGAAACGGAAAGTTGGAATGATGACAGCCTAAGAATGGGGCTCGCTTTGCTACGAGCAGGGTCAGGTGAGATATACCGACGTGTTGGTTTAGTGCGCTGGTTGACAAAAGACGTCTTCGATGGCACGTTAGCTGTGGAACTGAGCATCGTCTGAGATGAAAAATCTTCAGTAGTTATAATTACATTTGATTATGAATAAAATAACGCGCGGAAGAAAAAAATCTCTCAAGAACGATTAAGGGCAGAAGGATGGCCATTGATTCAAACAAATCCCTCTATGTAACTAGGTGCCGTGACATTCAAAAGTATATAGTACGATTCTCAGATCTAGCAATCGACTCGCAGAAGATCAAAAGAATCGTCCTAGAAACTTTCCATGGTATCTGGAGGCATCGAGTCATCAAGGTCTCTCGTAGCAAATGTTCGTTTAACGAAATCGCCTTGTTTCGGTGCACTCCCCTTCCTCTTCCGCGAGCCTCCAATATCAGAAGCGACATGCATTCTTGCCCATTTCTTAACTCTTGTAAATGCCTCATCAACCTGCGAAGGCAGTCTACCAGGCTGTGCCGCTGAAATACCATTACTCTTCATCAAGACATGAATATCTGTCCGAGCGCGTGCAATTGCCGGATTCAAAGACTGACCAAAGACTGTGTCGCGGAACGATGTGAGAGCAACGTTCGTCAACAGAATAATATCGCCAACCTTGATACCCTGCAGGGCTTCAAGAAGCGATCTCTGAGAACGTGTACGCTCGTCTTTTGAGTCTAGGTTCGGACGCATCCAGAAGGCGGTTTTGAAACCGGAGAAAGAGTCGTCTGCTACGATAATTTCCCAGAGATCCATCTTGTAACCGCCTCTTCGAACAAATATCTCGCGCTTCTCTGGGCTTGTAGTCACGACGCAGATGAAGTTTGGGGTTGGTGTCTGAGGGTATATTGCTCGCAGCTGCTGCGCGCTGGGGAGCGAGGCAAGTGGTGTTATACTCAACTTGAGTGGGACATGAATTATCGTGTGTTGATCAGCCTTGTGGGGACTACTATAGTCCGACGTGGTGGTTTCGAAAGATGTGGAAAGGAATGAGGAGGAGTTGATGGTAGAGTCAGGCCCTTCCCCCGGAACCACCTGAGATGACAGTAGTGAGTCGTGGAAGACGAGTGAATGCTCAATCAAGCCATCAGTATTAAAAGTTGGGTCGTTAAAACTGACAGTGGCATCAAGCGCTGTTGTATCTTCTTGTGCGAACGATTGAAACTGAACAACCTCAGGAAGCGATATATCTGCCATATGGCTTCCCAATATAGAACCAGGGAGGTAAGGATGCTGCCACTCCGATTGGAGTCGCGTATCCTTCTTCGCAAGGCAGCGCCACTTCATCGTAGGCGTAGAATCTACAGGCGGCATCTCGCATCTTGCAGCAACACTGAAACCATTGCACTCATCAGCAGGTAACAGACAGCTGTCGCTGAAATCCAGATGTTCACGCCTAGGCGCGCCGTTGAGCATCTTCAGCTTCATCTCGCGAATCGGGAACGTCTACGGCCCAACACACGCGGCAAAGCAATAAAGCGGTAAGGCGGGACTTGTATCATTGGTGTGACACCGGCAACTAGACAGAAGCTTTTTTCGAATTGTTGGGGAAATGTGGAGCCGACAAAGAAAGGGTGGCTCAAAAGACTCGGAGAAGAGGCAATGTCCGAGTGAGCGAGCTGTCTTGCTCCGAGGTGTGGTGGTCTCTGCTTCGCCTGCTCACTCGCCCAACAACCTAGAACCGTGTCCCAAGTCCGATTGACCGAGCCATGCAGCGAAACATAAAAGGCGGACCGCCCTAAGAACGGAGTAGAAGAAAAAAGGATTCGTAAGCAGTTGCTTTGATTCCGCGCTTTGCAAGAGGAAGCATAAGACTTACTCCGGCCTTCATCCACCCCCCCCTCGTCACTGATTACGCCGGGGTTTACTAGAAGCCGGGGTGTGTATGCCCACATTCCGGGGTTCTTGGCGATCTAATCTACAAATCTGATATAAATGTCGACAATGGCGCCGCCAAAACTCCCCCACCGCCCGATTAACGCATACAGAGTCCCTGCCATGTTGCGGAATCTCTCCTACAAGCTGGGCTCAGCACTGTCATCGTCGTCCGAAGTCTCCGTCAGCAAGGACAGCGACGAATTCATCAAAGTCAAGAAGACGGAGGATTTGTTTCCGACTACCAATCCGGCGATTGATGGCGACGACTGTTTACATGACTGTGCCAGTTGCAGCGTCAAATACCCTCGAAAATTCGAAATTGACGAGACAGAGGAGCTGTTCGGTCATGTGAAGGGCTTCAGCACGCACTTACTTGTTGCAACGGGGAAAACAGACTGGGTGCGCGATGTCGCCGACGAAAAAGGCAGTATCATGGAGGCCGTCGACAGAGGAACCGTAAAGCCTAGCAACGGCGTAAGTTTTTCCAATTCCCAAAGAACAGTATCCCAGAAACCATAAAGAAAAAACCGCGTATGCAAGTCCCTAACAGCCCCTCAGAAACTTATGCTATCCGCCTCCAACATCCCTATCCCAGACCACTCAGACCACAGCTCCATGGTCCTACTCCTCCCCTCCTGGCAATTCATAGACAACGTAACAACCACAAACGTCCCCGACCTCATCACCGGCTTCGTGAACTCCGGGCCAACAAACAACACGCCGTTGCGCTCGCACACCGCCGCGCCACTCTCCTCCACAACCCCGGATGAGTCTTCTTCCGGATCCCCATCCACACCCGAACCCGCCGCGATACCACCGTCTCTCCCTGCCACAACGCCACAACTCAAAGCGCGACCATGTCCACACAAATACCTCATTCTGATGTGCAGCCAGAAAACGCGAGATGCACGCTGCGGACAGTCTGCGCCGCTGCTGCGCAAGGAGTTTGAGCGGTTACTACGGCCCATGGGCTTATACCGTGATTTACACGATGAAAGACCCGGGGGTGTAGGGATATATTTTATCAGTCACGTTGGGGGCCACAAGTTCTCGGCGAATGTCATGATTTATCGACATTCGTCGGTTGTTTCGCAGGCAAGTCAGGCAAACGGGACTGGTGCGAATGGGCACACCAACGGCGCAGAGAAACAGCTGGCAGAGTTGAAACTGGAGGATGAAGAGAGCAGGGAAGTTGTGCTTGACGCGAATAAAGAGCAAGAGGCAGAGGGGAGGGGAGAAGCTGCGCAGTGTATATGGCTTGCGCGGGTGAAGCCAGAGGATTGTGAGAATATCATCAAGTACACGGTGCTGCAGGGCAAGGTTGTCAAGCCGGAGAGGCAGCTACGGGGTGGATTCGATAGGTGCAAACAGCTGGCTAGCTGGTAGTTGGCTGTTATGCCAAATGTTTGGGATTCCCTGAGAGTTCCTTCGCAACGTAAAATGACGCAATACCCCGCTACTAATGGCAGTACATATAGTAGATTATTTATTCACAGCATGCATGCATGGCGCGTAGAATAGACTAGAATTCAACAGTCTCGTTCATACAATGCATATAATGTCAAATGTGAGAACATCCATACGTAACCAAAATACTCTGTTTCGCTCTCGTACTCGACATGGAATGCTTAACCATTCGTCCATGACATGGCGAGATGTCGGTATGCTTGGTAGCCCGCTGACACGACAAGAGCTTAAAAGGGTATGACGTAATCTACTCTCCGAATCGACGTTGTGGGGTATCTTCCGGGGTAAAACAAAACACAGCAGCGACCGACTGTAACCACCGATTCAATCTCGAGCGTGACTGATCGGATTGGCGACATGAAGACAAAAGGTCAGGAGAGCTTCATGCCTGGTATGAAATCGAAAGAGCCGCTGCGATGGCCGTGGACCGATCGCAGCAAGACAGGTGTCTCGACATGGCCATCTCATCATCCTGCAGCTTCCTTGACTTTGCCACCAGTTGCAGGTGCTTCGTCGATAAACTGTGGTGGTGCAGTCTCGTCCAGCATAAAGTTGGGGATGCCGGAGGATTCCCCAATACCCTCAAAGTCGACTTCGTCGCCCAAGGCTTCCAACTCGGCATCCAGTTCCGACTCGTCCACATCCTCTGGTACATCATAGCTGCGGCTTATAGCATCCTGTATATCGTTGCCCATGTCCATGAGGTCTGCCATCTCGTCTTGAAGTTTATCAATCTGATCAATGTTGATCTTGCCGTACTGTTTCCTCAGCTCTTTGGTCGTCGTCTTCATGGCGTCGATGGTGGTCATGTTATTCTTGAGATTGTCCTGCATCATGCCGGCTTGTTCCATGTTCCATGACTGGGCTTGTAGTTGGTCGCGTTGTGCTTCATATTGTTTCCGCTGCTGTAGGACTTTGAGGGCTTTCTGCTTGATGGCCGTCTTGCCGGGTCCGTCTCGCATCTTGGCGAGCTTCTGCTGATAGGTGCTTAGCTCGGCGTTCAGTTTGGCGAGCTTGACATCGATGCTTTCTATCCGTGTGTCAACCTAATGCTGTTAGTACATGGCGAATGCATGTGAATGCGCATATCGTACATTGGATATGGCGCTGTTGAGCGTTGGTTTGGGCGCGTTGCTCTTTGCTCCGAATAACCGGTTCATGGTGATGTGATCCCTGGGGCGCTTGCGGTTGGTAGGTTAGACTCTTGGGTTGTTATGCATGTAGTTTGCGAAGACAAAGGCACATGCATATGAGAGGCGCTGGCAAGTGGGGAGGAGCGCAGGCAGACGGCGAATGATGGTTGTAGGGATCCTGGCACGCCAGCCAACCACCAGAGCGCCAAGAGTTGATTCAGTCTAACCAAACTAGGACATACCGCAGGTTACTCCATACATTCAATTTTCTACTACATCTTGATGCTAGATATCATGGGCCGATAAACGCATAATCTCAGAGTTTGAATACGGTAAAAAATTTGATTCGACAGATAGTGTAAGTTTTTTTCTACCGACTGCTCGAATTGTGTTGTCCACGACAGTTGTGGCAAGGGCCATTTGTTTTCGAGCAGCAATGACAAGGTGAGTAATTTGTGACAACAAAAGTTTCAGTCTCATATCCTTGCATGATTCTCAGTGCCCCCTACAAAGTTGGATCTAGTAATATTTATATGCCTTTTTGTAGATGCGCTTACTCTTTACTTAGGCTGATGTGAAGTTTGCTCTGTTAGTATCACCTTCTACTGCCTACAAGTGGTTGTTGTTTGGGAGAAACGCCGAGATGAGGTAAGCGCTAGGATTCTCAGAAAGTTGTACTTGGATGTGTTGGCCCAGTGGGCTGGTGCCTCAATGGCTATCTGGGCCACCTCACGACAGGTATCTCAGAGTGTTCTTGACTTGGCATGATACTTGAGAATAGGTTTGGGTTTTCTAGGTGCCCAACAGTAAATTCCCTATTTTTCCAGTGAGAGTTGAAGTCAAACGATTCGCAGATTTTAGAAACACGGAATGCCAATGTCTTTGTACTCATCTCTGTGGATGATGAGATATATATAGGAGTGATATAGTATCACGTGACTGGACACTGCGCATACATGACTGCTCCGTCGGATACAATCGAGATGCATGTGTATCCAGGGAGAGCTTCTGTACACAGGCGCTAGGTTATTTCCATCAATCACTGAATGAATTAGGACATGGCGACATGGGCATCAGGCGCTCTTGGGAGTCGTGTCCAAGGTCGTCTCTAAGCGCCGGCCGTTCCCGCAAACGTCATCGCAGGTCACGTGTACTGCTACCGAGAGCGGCATCACGAGTGCCGGTCATGGCCATGGCGACGGGATTCGGGCTGGCAGGTGATGGCGCAAATTTTGATGCCTGACTGTTTTACTGCTCAGCCCAAGGGGGGACCGGCGCATGTCGTACTAGGCGGCTTCTCAAGGTGGTAGAGAAGGGTGCGTTCACGTCGTATGCGGACAAAGTGGTCGTTTCTCTTATGTGCTACATGTCGTACTAGTAGAGCAAAGGCTTTGAACATGGAGGCTAGCGTGGTGGATGGTAATGGATAAATCAGTAGTCGCGTCATGACCAGGGCCTCGTGTGGCCTGCAAGTAATCCACATGCCTGCGTAAGTACTTGCTCTATGTACTTAGTAGATGGATGCATGCATGCATGCCGTGGCTGCTGTCTGTCTGTTATCAAGGAGGTCGCAAGTTGGGATCTGCAAGCACGCTACCTACCAGTACGCAGCTTCTCCTAGCCCTCTGTCACCACCAAAAAAAACCCAACAAATCCATTCACTCCCGCCCTTTGCATTCGCCTGGGTGCACCCACGCCAAATCGCATTTCGGTCGCCGGCTTTCCCCGCTTGTATGTATCTGTAACAACCCAGCCAAAACGCAGCGTCTCCGAGTAGATGCATTGATTGCAAGCCTTGCGCCCGTCTCGCTTGCCGTTGCCGTCCCCCGCTGTCTTGTTCGCTTGCAGGTACCTGTCCCACCTACTGCACTCAGCCCGCCCGCTGCCCGCTGCCCGAGCCTCAGCCCTGACCACACGCGCCCTCCGCTGTCTTACACCCCCCGAGCACTTGTTGCTAACCAAGACGCCCGTCTGCTGTGCAGGCCCTTTTTGTTGCATCCGTGTTTCCGCTTCCCATGACGCATTGGTCGCTGCAGTAGTCGTACGTACGCATGTCCAGCCCCACCGGCCTACAGCTGCTGCTCTCGAGTCCCTCGCCCGGCCCCTTCCCTGCCCCGCCCTTGTAGCCGCAAGCACCGCATACGACCATG